ACTCGTTCTGTACCTATCTTAAATTTACGCTCAGGTGGGTTGTCATGCTAGTTGATAGTTGGTGATTCACTGAAAAATCTACGAATATGTAAATAATTAAATATTTATTTTTCAAATGAAATACAACTTTTTGATGTAGTTATTACGCTTAAATGTAATCTCATGACCATATGATTGAAAACAAATTCATGTAAACTTGTCTAATTATAAGCGCGTTTGATATTTATCTACCCTGGAGTGTGCGATAGACTTACCTCCACGTGGTGTACCCTGGACAACGTATGCCCATGTGGCAAAAAAGTCTATTAACCGGCAGTTGACTTCTGACTTCAAACTACCATGACCCCACTGTATATCATATTCGACATCTATCACAGTACTCACCTCACCTTTTTTCTACTTTTGTGTCTGCCTCTTTTACGTAAGTAAATCATTATTCTGTCCCCCTTCTCGACTTTTTTCCCCTTAATGTTCCTTTCTCTGTGAAGCCTGAAGTCAACTAAAGAGCTAATGATAACCATCAAAACGCCTGCCATTTAATATAAGTAAATATTTATCTACCTCAACCAATCAAAATCAGTATACCTCTAAAATTCACCCCTTGTAGTCAAACTTCGTTATTGTAGAACTAAATTAGCATTAGGGATGCCAATTTACTGAGTAGTCTTTTGATCATATGGGCAGATCATATTGGCTACCATGATAACTTTACTTCAAAAACAAGAAAATCATTAATCGTGTGAAGCAATAATCAAACAATTGGTGATGGAAACTAAGCTTTCTAAGAAATAATTTATGTCAAATCGTCTTCAAATTGGTCATAAATTTATAAGTCCTTTATGCATGAAAGAAGAAAGTTGCAAACATTTCTCCAGGATAAAAGTTTCAAATTCTCCTATATTTTCTTTCATGTTTGTTAAATTTGAAGCTAAGCATCTATTTTCGAAAGTTTCGGCCCTGTTGCCAACAGTAACTGTCCGATTTCTTCCGGTGAATTTAACACAACAACTTTAAGCTACCGACTAAGTCATTCGGAATTCACTTAAAATGGGTTTTTAATAAATTCCTGAATTTTATTGAAAGTATTCACTAGCTGCATTTCGAAACAATATCATCGTACGTGATTAACTCATGCGTTAACACGGATTTCTGTCTTGTAAACAGAGTTTAACCTTCATTTCTGGCTATTAGGGTACTTCAAAGGAGCACAGCATTGCCAGGTTTTATCAAATACATTATTCCTCCTTCCTCAAAGTTTAAGCTCATCACCGTATACAGTCTGAAAACTGCTTTGAAGACAAATTGTAGAACAAAGTTTTTTGCCAGTGTGATACTTATTAGAGCATTCTCCCGTATTCTTTCCTTAATGCCACCATCTCGCTTAGTTAAGAGCATTTGTCTAAAATGGGAACTGCGTTGAAACAAATACACCAGACACATAAATATTAGAAGGCTAGTAAAAATGGGATGAGCACTGGCAATAGCAAAAATAAAAAGATATGAAGTGCACATAAGCCAAATTAAGCGATTAGGAATTGAATAGCAACAACAACTAGTGAAAGGGTGAAAGGTCTGTTAGATTAAGGAAGGAAAAATTCACTTTAAGAAAATGAATTTACGAAAGTGAGAGAAAACAATCATTTTGCCACCATGTCCACTTCAATCACGGGTAGTATGGAAGTACCATTGAGTATATCTAGCATCGCTTCCGTGTACTGGCATGTGCTCCTTAATTGAATAGTGAGAATAGGAATAAGTCGAGTTCAGTCTAGTCCCAATACTCCAGAAGAAACCTGGCTGCTTGCATGTGTTGCAACCTTCGCTAATTTAATGGACGGAAGATATTCTGTGGAAAGGGTCACTTCCCCAGTTACTTTTTCTTTGGCAGTGATCAAAGTGAATTTCTCCCCTAATGTTTCTTTATAGTCGTGCGGCTTTTATTAGGGTTATTAACCCTTATTGATAAATTTGTTTTTGTAATAGTAATAGATAATTTCAAATAATGAAATCCGCTTATGCCACACTTAAATTCTGGGCTGAAATTCCCCTAGTGGTATCATTGAATGTGTGTACAACAAACTTGTAAATATCTCCACTTCCGAACTCCTAAGAATAAATTAATTAATATTATTTTACCTGATTAGTAGAGGAATTTCCCCCCCCCTTTCCAGGTAGTTCTTTTCTAGGCATATAGTTTGCAAATGGCAGATTTGGAATTGTTGTTGGTCCAGTTCGTATCGAGACGTCTTGGGCACCTTGAGGGCGCTGGCTTAACTTGGGACTTTGTTCGGGTTGGAAGGTGGTCAAAGTTACACGAGAGGCTGCTAAATTGGCTCTCAGTTGGCGAGGTGTTTGGGAGACGTGACCCATTGCCACGTAAACCGTTCCGTTCTGGTCGACGATACATTTTTGACCACTGGACGGAGTACCGGGTACACTTGACAGAAAGCCATCGGAGGGTAAATTCTAAAATGAAGTGAATACGGAATTGCATGTGATAGCCCCACAGATGCTAGTTATAGTGATCTAATCTTCTTCAAGCAAATTTCCTAGGATACTGCTAATACTCCATATCAGACAATGGCATGATAGAAGAGGTCAAAAAGTGTTTGAATAAAATTACCTACACGTGGTGCCCCCTGGGCAACGTACATTCATATGGCAAAAGTCTATAAACCTACAGTTGACCTTTGACTTAAAACTACCATGACCCTGCGGTATATCACATTTCACCACTTCTACAGTACTCACCTTACCTTTACTCTGTCTGTCTATTTTGCTTCTGTGAATCATTATTCTGTCCCCCTCTCGACTTTTTG